AACAAGAAACAGACATTTAGTGAAATTTAAAGCCAACTAGAGTTCCTTAGTCTGTTTCCAGTAACCTGCTTGTCCAACTAAAACTCCCTGCTCTACATGATTTAGGGAAACCACCTGAATAGTTAATTAGTACCTTACCTTCACAGAGTGGGTAGAATCATGTTAATATGCATCCTTTGAAGTGTAGCTGATGGAGCTGCTGTCTATTTACACTGGAGTTCCATATCGAAGTTTAATTTTGTTGGTTAGTTTAAAATATCTCATTAGTATTTCAAATAACACTCAAGGAATCACAGCACTTGTTTCTTTTTCTTTTTTTGTCCTTCAGACTTATTTTTAGGCAACAAGAGCAATGCCCATTCATTAAAATAAATTTGTGAGATTTGAAAAGCAAATCAAGTGGTTCTCCCCTGCCCCCACCTCTCAGGGAGGCTAAGCAAACTACACGCCTCCAGTGTCTCCATTTTTTTTTTTTCAAATTGCTTTTATAAATGTTTATGACCCAAAACAATCTTAGCCAACATTTTGGACCATTCCCACCAGGGTTATTCTCATGTGTAAATCTGGTGTGTGTTTTGCATTTTCTTAATAATATTGTGGTGGCTCTTAAATTTGAATCAGAGGGTAAAAGGAGATAAATTGCAATTCGGCTCTTAGGGCACCTCGAAGATTCTCTCATTCCTCTGTTCTCTTTCTGTGTGATTTTGGGTAAGCCTGGGGGATGTGGAGCCCCTGCTGATGCTCACCCCAGAGGTCTGTGGGAGAATCTGGCCCTTGACCTATGGGGACAAAGGCTGTGTACCATGTAGTAAGCACCTGAGAGAGTGACTGGGGATCTTAGTTAGGGTTGTTATTGCTGTGATGAAGCACCATGACCAAAAGCAACTTAGGGAGGAAAGGGTTTTTTCCTCACAGTTCCATATAACAGTTCATCATCAAAAGCAGTGAGGGCGGGAACTCATGCAGGGCTATGGTGGTATTTTATTTGTACTGAAATGTGATTTTAATTGTATGTTAATGCAGTGACTAGGCAGTCATGTGTTTGGGTTTACAACCAATGAGAAGGCAGAACAGAAAGACTATATTAAAGTCAAACACACAGGAAGTAGGTCTCTTTCGGGGAGGTAGGACCACCGCAGGAGGAAGGGTAAGGTTTTAGCTCTGAGCTCTGACCTCTTGGCTTTCTCTTTTACATTGGTTCTGTGTTACTTATTTAATAAGATGGTCGGCTACATCTACACAGGGCAGTAAGCTGGAGGCAGAAGCGGATGCAGAGGCCACGGAGGGGTATCGCTTCTTGGCTTGCTCAGCCTGCTTTCTTAGAGCACCCAGAACCACCAGCCCAGGGCTAGCACCGCCCACCATGGACTGGGCCCACCCCCACTGATGACTAATTAAGAAAATGCCTTACAGCTGGGTCTCATGGAGGCATTTCCTCAACTGAAGCTCCCTCCTCTCTGATGACTCTGGCTTGTGTCAAGTTGACATCAAACTGTCAGTACAGTAAGTGAAAAAGTTGGAAAGCATCTGCACAGGCCTTGTCTCCTTAGTGAACACGTTTTCCCTGCCAATTAGTCAAAGCAACACTTCATTTTACACTGCCACAAAGGGCAATGGACTGAAAGTCGAGTACACACAGGGAAGGTGAAAAGCAGCCAAGCAGGTGTCTGGTGATCTGTTGATCAGCCAGGACTGCTAGGGAGGGCAGGAAGATTGTTGAACAGGGATCTCTTAAGCTCTTAAGCTCCTTCCACTCATTGCTCCTTTTTCCAGGTGACTGGGGGTGTGTATGTGTGTGTGTGTGTGTGGGGGTGTTGGACACACATAAACGTGCAGGTGCACCTGTCAGTTTGTGCACATGCAGCAGCCAGAGCAGGATGTCATATGCTCCCTTCTCATTCTCCACTTTGTCACCTTGAGACACCCTCTCACTGAGCTGGAAGTGCAGATTATGGCTCGGGCGGTTGGCCCGGCTCACCTCTCTCTGCCTCCCAGTGCTGGGGTTAGAAGCATGCATGGCTGTGCATGGCCTTTTACGTGGGTCTTGGGGAATTCGAACTCAGGTCTTTATGCTTGCAGAGCAAGTGCTCTTAGCCACCAAGCCACCTCCCCAGCTCCTCCCTTTTTATTATTATTTTTTAACATTAATTTATTCGACAGAGTGGGGGAGGGAGGGGGAGAGAGAGAGCATGTACACCGGTCACATGGTACAAGTGGAGGTGTCAACTCTCCCCACCACAATGTGGGTTCAGACATCAAACTCAGACTGTCAAGTTTGACTTATCGCAAGCTCCCTTAGTGCCCACGAAAATTTTACATGACTTGTGTATAGCTATACAAACAAAGCATTTACTGATAATAAATTGTAAATAAATCTTTAAAAATAATTCCTTGGTATACATGTAATTTTATCATTTATTTACAATGAATAAAAATCTGCATGCTAATGAGTGGTTATGCCTATTTATTTGAAATAAAGAACTAAATCTTGGCTGGATGTTTGATACCACAAGACACAAAGCATATTCAACGCTGCAGAGTTGGTGGATATTTTGGTTTTATAATCATCAATGCTGAGAATACCACTTCACATAAATACATAGTACAAAAGGCAGAAGTACAGAGAAGGCAGTCTCAGAATTTGTTGGAAGTCTGTCCTAATCCCAAACCAAAATTCATTTAATCATTTCTTTTTTAGGAGAGTCAAGTCATCCACTCAAACAGCATTTGAAACTCAAACATTTTAACACAACACAATCCAAAAGGTACTAATTTGATATTTACATGACAGAGAGAAAATATTAAAACTCTTGCTTTCCTTAATGAAGCCATTATGTTTTTATAGAAGCAGAAAAATGTCCATGGACATAATAAATATTGCATTTGATAACAAATAACAGTCTGGATCAGAGTCTAGACGTCCAGGCACACTGACACTGTGTGGTGTGTCGCCATGAGGAATGTGAAGAGTATCTGTTGTGTGTTCAGAACCAGCTGCAGTGAAGCCTTGTGAGGCAACAGTGGTTGTTTCAGTGAAAAATGTCCCACATTGGTGGTGCTGTCACGAGGGACAACTTTGAGGGCTGTCGACCTACTTCCTTGTTCTCTCTGCTTCAAGCTTACATTTGAAGATGGGAGCTCTCAGCTTCCTGTTCTAGCCACTGATCCCTGCCACACCTCCCTGGTCAAGAGAGACTCATCCGTCTGGAGCTGAAAGCCCAGGTAAACTCTTTCTTCCATAAGTTGCCTTGGTCATGGTTTATCACAGCAGTATCATAGTAACTAACCCAGGAACCCAGGAACACACTTCCAGAAATACCTTGGATTCACTGTGCATGTGAGTTTGAATTAACTTTTGGTTGCTGTGCGTTTGGAAATTATTGCTCCTGCCAAGTATTTTCACAGCTCCCATATTCAGTTATGAGACCCTCTGTGGCGTTGCAGCCCATAGTTTAAAAAGCTGTGACTGAAATAAAGAAGCAGGTTAGAGGCATGGAAGGGTTCTAGTGCAGGAAGCCGAGAATGGCAAAGAGGGGACTCTCTCTGCCCAGCTTGATTCATCATCCACCGAGGCCTTGTGCAGCTTTGAAAAGCTGGCAGCATGAAGGAAAGCTCACCCAGAGAGGAATGACCAGCCCCCAGAAAACTGACTTTCTGTCCATATCATTGGGAATGGGAAGGGAAAGGAGGTACAGCAATTAAAGGCACCAATGCTCTTCTCTTCGTGACCTCAAAATCCAATTACGGGTATGCAAGTCGAATATATGACCACTGATTTGCTTTGCCATAAAAAGAAAGGAAAAAAAAAAACAGCAAAAGAGTTAGGAGGAACCTCAAAAATATAAGCATCTGTGTGTTTATTTTATAAGTGGGCTGTTGGACTGCCGGGGATTGGCGGGACCCAAAGAGAAAACTCCAGTTATACAAGGCAGCTTAGAGGCAGGCAGGAAATCCAACGAGAGACACAGGAAAGAAAAAGGCAGGGTCTAGGGAGATGCCACCTACCACCCAAGGAACAACAAGATGCCAGCAGACTGGCAACACCATGGCCATGTGGCAACATATAGATGAATAGAAATGGTTTAAGATGAAAGAGCTAGCTAGCAGAAGCCTTCCACAGGCCATACAGTTTGTAAATAAGATTAAGCCTCTGAATGATTATTTTATAAGCAGCTGAGGGAATACAGGGGCCAGACAGGACCCAAGCAATGCAGGGCTGGGCAGGACGTGAGAAACTTCCAGTTACATTTGGCACCCAACATAAGGCACAAACTCATGACCCTAGGATAAGAGTCTTACGCTCTACCAATTGAGCTAGCCAGGCATGAGACTCTTAATCTCAGGGTCCTGGGCTTGTGCCCCACGTTGGGTGTCACGTGTTACAATCAATCCACATGAGTCTATTAAATGGGTAACAGAATTTACTAATATATAAATTGAGGAAATACACTCACAAATAACAGAGTAGACAGCAGAAGTCAACCCCTGATCTGACCAGGAGCGAATCCACCTCACAGGCAGGAACAGGGAGCAGGGGCATGTGACACTTCTTCAACTCCTTATAAGAGGTCATATTCTACAGCAAGAAGCACTGCCTCCTTTGGGCTGTATAGCCCAAGGTCATTGGTGGAGTAAATACCACTACTACAAAGTTTAAAATAAAATAATAAAAATAAACATTAAAAGATAGCTTTTAATATTATTTGTGGTTATTTTTTAATATCACATAGAGATATAAGCAAATATTTAGCACCCCTGAAGTATTGATACTATATGTTTTAATCTTAATGACATATACAAAAATTATAATGGGAAAATATAATTTTTTATTTTTATGGGGTGATCTAATTGATCTCATAATATGTCACTTGGAATGGCAAATCCTGTCAGTCATCCTCCAGCAAGACTTGTCCCTGAAGAGAACTGAATGTCACTTAAGAGAGCTGACAAGCAAGGCCCATAACACATGTGAACAATTTAAAGTGAAACTATCACCTTACCATAGTCCATTTTCTCTGTTATCTTGCCTGAGTTTTCTTTCCATATTTTGCCTGTATGCACCATTTTAGACTTGCAGTTTTTCAAAGAAACATTCACAGCTTGATGAGATCTTAAAAAAAATACATTTGAAGCTGGTTAAAAACAACTACAATCTGAAAAAAACCTCTTGTTGTCTAAAGTGGGACTGAAAACTGGGAGAAGAATTTTATTATTCTCAAAGTACCCAGAAATGTTAAGACTTGTTTATTTTATATAGACCATGATCCTAAAATCTAAAAACTGCCCTGAGCAATCTGTCAGTGACAAATTAAAGTATCTCTTCCTGATGACAAGAAGACTGAAGCGATCCAACCGACATCTTGTTTCCCTGAGTAGGTATTTGTCCTAATCTGTTATAGTCTAGCTAATTATAGCTTTGTATTACAAGACCTTCCATCTAAATCAGGCCCCAAGATAAACAGATTTGCTATTTGTCTTCCTGTATATATCTAACTCAACTGATGAGTTATTAATAGTTTTTTTCCCAAAGTCAATAATACGTATTTGAGAAATGCAGTTAAGTTAAAAACTGTGTATTGGTGTGTACAAAGTCTCAACCTTCCTGAATAAAATTAAAAACCTGATCATTCCAAGATGGAAAATAAAAGGTAAACACTCCTGAGTTTGAGTAGTTGGGTTTCTCACCTCACTCTGGAATGATACTCTAGATTTCAGGGCATGGCTCCCCACACTTGAAATTCCAGCACTTGAGAGGTGGAGGCAGGAAGATTAGGAGTTGGAGTCACATTCAGCTACATAGCAAGTTCAAGACAGCCTGGGCTACAGGAGACTGGGTCAGAAACAGAAACAGAAAGGGAAGAGTGTGGAAGGGAAGGGGGAGGGGAGGGGAGAGGAGCAAAGGGAAGGGATTGAAGGGAGGGAAAGACAGACTCTTTTGGGGTTACTTTTACTGCCCCACACAAGCCTTCACAGATTTCTACTTACTTTAAAACTCATCAGTACCCTAAAGTCAACACAATGATATAAAATCAATTAGCTATTGGCCTAAGTTTTTTACCAAAGTCAAAGGAATAACCAAATGTAACCCAGTGGGTCAGTCAGTGTAAGATTTGATTTCCTCTTTGAGCACCAAGGAGCCTATCTGGCCTGACTTTTGATGGGCAGCAGCTTCATGCCAACAACCAAGGGACTGTGCTTAGACTCCTGTCCCTCTAGAAGGCGGGAGCCATGGAAGAGCAGGATTTCCGGTTGCGGCCAATCTGGAAAACATCCCTAACCCACAGTGGATCACCACTGTGTCCTTGGGCTCTGAAGCTATGACATCTGTCATGGAGGAAAACATAGATGACGGCTCCAGATCCATCAGTGAAAGTAGGAAGGGACCAGGCCACCTCTCCTTAGCAGAGATGCTGAGGAACTCCTCCCTAAGCCTGTCCTGAACGAAGTGAGAAAAGAGAGAAGGAGCAGAGAGAGAAGAATGGGAAATTGCCAGGGAGAGAGGAGACCGTTGATTACAAATCAATTTCAAATAGTTACAATTCCATACAACGCAGCAAGGACACAATGTTGAACAACAGCAGTGGGTAAAGTTCTCAACCACGTGGTACACACTTTGACAATGTCAGCAGCAAGGAGTAAGCTGGGCAGAGATGGTGTAATTGAAATTTAATAAGAAGTTGCCTCTGTTATGATTTATTATTACGCAGGGGGCACCAAGGGTATCCCACACATGCAGAGAAACATGCTGGCATGCTGGGCAGATGCAGCCACAGGCTGGCAGACAACCCACACCATGAGGGCATGGCGACAAGTCGGTGGGTGGACATACACAACCCAGACGCTACATCCGAGTGGAGAGTTTATTCTGATAGAGAGATGAAGAGGTAGAAAGACATAAAGAGGAAGACAGAGAGAGAGAGAAAGGGAGAAGGGGGTGTTGATGGGTGCATACCTCGTGGGAGTGGAGGGAGAGAAGAGAGAAAAAAAATGGAGTTTTTCCTTAAGAAGAGGCTTCAATGTCAGGCCACAGGGTGGTGCCAAGGGATGGGATCAGAATATTAACAGTTAGTATTTGATTTAAAAAAAAAGTGGGGAGGGGGGCTAGAGGGATGGTTTAGCCACTAAGAGCATGTATTACTTTAGCAGAGGACCCCAATTCAGTTCCCAACACCTATATTAGGCTGCAGCTCCAGAGCATTTGGTGACCTTCTGGTCTCTGAGAACACACACACACACACACACTTAAAAAAATAATTAAATAATTTTAAAAATTGAGAAAACATAATAGCTTGGATTTGTGTGTTTATATGCGTGTGGTTATTCTTTGTGGTTATAATTTTTCTAATATTCATAAAATTACATTTGGATTTGGAACTCAACACCTCAAGTTCATTTTGATGTGTTTCCACAAATTATCATATATCACTTACTTATGTCACAATCAATATTTATTTTTTATTCTCTCTCTCTCTCTCTGGGGGAGGGGGGCAAGGAGGCAGTATACATGTTCCACAACATGCATGTAGAGGTCTGAGAACAACTTGCAGAAGTCAGTTCTCTCCTTCCACCATGGAGATCCTGGGGATTGAACTCACATCATCAAGCCTAGCAGCAAGCACTTTATCTACACTGAACCCTCTCACTGACCCCACAGTGAATATTTAGAGCACAGTATATGCAGACTGCAACATCAAAGCATCAAGTTTAAACAGAAAAGTCCTAATCAAATGACAGCTACTTTATTTTTCTCTGTGTACTGTTCTTTTTCAAGTAATCCATCACGAAAAGTAACTATCTTAGTAACTAGAAAGAAGAAAAAAATAATTTAAACAGCTATCCAATTAGGACAATGCCACTTCAGATCTCCCAGTTTTTAATACAGGGATTCTCCCTCTGCCCCTTTCTGCTTTAAGTCAGTTCAGGAAATGAGATGCTGTGCTTTGATAGTAGGCATGGATCAAATTAAACTACTGGATTTCATGAGGCTAATATTTCAAATTAGAGATTTCAGCTCACTCAACTTGTTCTAACACACTTATGCCTGATGAAGCGTTACTTATGTGAATAATTAGCCTGAATAATGTGTGAAAGCCAGGGACAGCTTTCAAGGCAGTAGCTGACTCTTCTTCCTCTGATGATCTTACACATAAATGTGGAGAGCGTGAGGAGGGTGTGGCAGGTGATGGAGCCACATCTCCTCCCCAGGACCTCTCCTGCGACCCAGTACAGAACTACTGCAGCCTGGCATGCTGTCATGAGAGTATAATGAGCAAAAACAGATGCCCAGCCATGTTGAGCAGGCCACATGCTCAGCTACGAGAGTTCGTGTGGCGATAACCATTGCACTACCATTGCGATCTAGCCTATGGGACACAGAAAAAACCTATGCCTGGGTCTATTGGAGCAGCCAGGACTGTAGTGAGTTAAGCAGTTCTGTCACTTTGATAGAGTTTTTGTTTTTAATAATCTACATTCATACAGGCAACCTTTTTACTGTGCTAAGTATAATGCTTTATTCTTTTGGTTTGGGGGGGGGCCGGCAGGGTCTCACTCTGTAGCCCAGGCTGGACAGAATTTGGAGTCCAGATTGGCCTCAAATTGATGGCAGCCTCCCTGCCTCAGGCCCCTGGGTACTAGGAATTACTGGCAGGAGCCTTTGTGCCCTACTTGAGAGCAAAGAAAAGCAGACAAGAGCATGGAGTGTCTCCCTGGCTCCAACCACGGCTCAATCTGACTTACTTCCCACCTCCAGCCCTGGATATTCAGAGTCTCTTATTTTGGAGCTAGACTCAGCTGGGGCTTGAAACTGGCTCCAGACGCTCCGTAGCATTAGCAGATGGTGGAATCTTCCAGGAAGCAGTTCTACTCTGGGTTTGCTATTCCCTAACTGAGTCTTTTAAACATAATGTGCTTTCTCACTCGGCTTCCCCATTTCTTAACCAGTCTCTGTCTTATCACGAGGAAGAAATGGCAGGAGGGAAGAGGGAGGGCACAGCCTTCCAGTGCGTGCACACCAGAAGCCTGGATTCTTTTCTTCCCATTAGGATTGTTTCCCTTTACCATGCCACCTGCTTTTACCTTTTTTTTTTTGGGGGGGGGGGCTTGAGTGGCCTTAATTCCATTTAGAACAGATAAAGGCTGACGAGAACTGGCACAGCAGCTTCTGTCAGAGATGGATTTTGTTTCGTGTCAGTTGAACTACATTGGGTGGGATCCGTAGAGCCGAGGCTGGTGTTTGTTGACTTGTTTGCTTGTTTGGTTGGGCAGTTTTCTGTGTGTGTTTTCCGCATGTCTGCTCACATGCAGAGACCAGGAGTTGACAGTAGGTATCTATATCACTCGTCACCATTTTAAACATTTTATTTTTATTTTCTGATTAGCAGAGTCTCTTACTGAACCTGGAGTTTACTGATTGGCTAAACTTTCAGGGTGGCCAGTGAGCCCCTGGGATCCTCCCCTCTTCTCCTCCCAACACTGGGTTTACAAACACGTACTACCATGCCCTGCTTTTTAGGTGGTGCTAGGATTCTGAACTTAGGTCCTCATGCTTCCTCAGCAAGCACTTTATACATTTGTTTTCGTTTTCTAGATAGAGTCTGACTATGTAGCCCAGGCTGGCCTCAAACTCATGATCTACTTACCTTAGCCTCCTAAGTGCTGGGATTCCTGTCCTGTGTGTATGTGTGCCACCACACCCAGCTCATAGTTTTCTATTTATTTATTTACTTACTTACTTATTTGGTACAGTCTTTAATCAAGGCTGTCCTCAAACTCCCTCCTTAACCTACAATAACCTTGAGCTTCTGATTCTTCTGTATCTACCTCTCCCCTACACCCGCGTGCTGCTGGGACTGCTAGCCTGGTGGCACACTGTTGCCCTCACGCAGTCTGTGGTGTTAGCGGTTAAAGCCAAGAAGGCTTTGTATATATTAGGCAAGTACTGGATCAACTGAGCTACGATCACAGTCTTTTACCTTTGTGCTGTTAAAACCACTTCTTTTCTTTAGTCTTATCTGGTGATTCTTTAAAAAAAAAAAAACACTTGTTATATCTTAGCGTTCATATGTGTAACATGCAGAGGTCAGAGGACAACCTGTGGGAGTTGTATGGGTCATGGGATCAAATTCAGGTCATCAGATTTGGTGGCAAGTGCCTTTACCTACAGAGCCATTTCACCTGCCCTTATCAGGTGCTACTTGGTTTTAAAATGATAAGATCTTTACTGCGGATCCCAGAAAAGGAACTCAATGGATATGGATTAGATAGATACCCCCTGTCGATCTTAACCAGCTGTTTCGTAAGTAAATGATGGTTGTTAAATTTTTCTTAATTAAAAAAATTTAAACCTGACAGACATTTCCTGTGCTTCTACAAATTATTTAGCTGCTCATATTAAAAATATAAGTATAGAATCATTTCTCTGAAAAAAAAATTTAAAAAAATCCCTGCCCAAACCCAAAGGAAGACAGTTTCAAAGACAGCTGCTCCACAAAAATAGCAATGCTTTTGTTTTATTTTCTTGTCTTGTTTTTATTTATTTTGTTTGGGTTTTTGTTTTGTTTTTGTTCTTCCTCAGCTCTTTTCTACTCATTTCCACTTCTGGTCCATCCTTTCAGTTTCTAGGGGTTCCCCAAATCTGTCCCCTAAATTCCCCTTTTCTTAAGCTAGCTAGCTTTGGTTTTGGCCTTTCAAAAATATTAACCAATATAACCAGTTTCCATATGACCTCCTCTCCTTGTGCTGAACATTCACGTGATGGAGCAGAGATTAGATAATGATAATCTAAATGTTATCTCCCGGGTACATTTCCCAAATCTGCCACCTGGAATGCAGGGAGCAAGCAGCAGAATGAAGCCACGGATGCAAGCGTCCGACTTTGCTGGAATACGTTTGCCCCAAATTGGCTTAAACCAAGGGCTATGTTAAGATTCATCCCTTCTTCTTTGATGCTCTCCACATCTCAGAAATAAGTATAATTGAGCCCAAGTATGAGGTGCGCTGCCAGCTTGAGCTATATAGCAAGACGTTGTCTTAAATACACAGCAAGCAAACGGCCCCTGGGACAGAGATACAGTCATTGGCAGGCAGGGATGGCGAGATTGCTTCACAGGGATGCTGAAGAAAGTCTAGTTCCTATTAGCATCTAGTCTCTATTCTACTGTGAGGACACCGGGCTTCAGAGAGACGAAGTTTTCCAAGGATTCAAGGCTGAAACCCACATCTGGCTTATCTTATGAACTAGTGGTTCTCAGCCTTCCTAATGCTGCAACCCTTTAATACAGTTCCTCATGATGTGGTGACCCCCAACCATAAAATTAAGTTCATTGCTACTTCATAACTGTAATTTTGCTACTATTATGAATCATAATGTAAATACCTGTGTTTTCTGATGGTCTTAGGTGACACCCCTGTGAAAGGGTCCTTTGACTCTCAACTGGTTGCGACCCACAAGTTGAGAAGCACTGTTACAAACCAAAAAGGCAGACACAGTGATTGTATAGACCAAGAGAAACAGGTAGTGAAGACATGTAAGACCAGTGATCTCTTCTATTGAGACTAACTCCCCACCCCCGCCACGCTAGGTCCTCAGGTGAGGCCCTTACCTTTAAGATGGAGTAACATCTGGCTGTCCCAGAGAAAAGACAGAGAAAGTATCAGGTGTATAGTGAGCGAATTCGATGATAGGATGGGTAACACAATGGAGGCCCCAGCACTCGGTTAGGTGTTTCGGTTTCGCAGAACCCACGCATTAAAAACCCTTGGCACGCGTTAATGTAAGAATGGTGCTATCGGATCAAGCTACCCAGCTTATTACTGGTCAACTGCAAAAACTTTTCTGCTCAAATTGTGCGTGTTACAAACCTCAGTGGCAAATCCCGGGCGGAAAGCCTTAACTTTAGGCTCCCGCTTGCCGGCTTCCCTCTTGGCTCTCACAAACCACCTGGTTACTGGAGTGGGAGTCGTGAGAACAGTGGCATCGCGGGAGCGTTTGCTCATGGACCTCTAAAGCCGGGACAGAAAGGCGTCCCTTGGAGCTGCAGGCGACAGCGGGCTAGGAGGAGCGTCGCCCAGCGGCAGAGGCCGTGACGGTACAGGGGTGGGGGTAGGGGCTCCCACCTCCCGCAGCTCTACAGGCGGTGCCGGGAGGCGGGGCTGCGGACTACCGGAGCTACGTATTGGCTGGCGGGGCTGGGGAGGAGGGGCAACTCCGCCGTGATTGGCGGAGGCCGGCGCCGGAGGGGGCGGGGCCGCTATAAAATGCGCGTGCCTGTCGCGGCGCAAGCAGTCGGGCTGTCCGAGCGGCGCGGCCGTGGAGCACCCGGGAGCCGGCTGTCGCGGGGGTGGCGGGGACGCGAGCGGCGGGCTGCGTGGGGTGCAGGGCAGGCGGCCGCACCGCTTCACCTTCCCCACGGAGCCCGGAGCCGACTTAGAGCGATTACAGTGGGGCGACAGCCCCGGCGTACACCCGAGAAGAAGCGGCCGTGGCGGCGGTGGCGGCGGCCCCAGCCATGCTGTGCTATGTGACGAGGCCGGACGCAGTGCTGATGGAGGTGGAGGTGGAGGCAAAAGCCAACGGCGAGGACTGTCTCAACCAGGTGAGGGCGACGATCGGAAAGGGGATCCCCGCTTGTCCCCGGGAAGCCTGGGGTTTTGGTCCTCAGGAGCCGGGCGACGTTGCAGCAGCGGCCCGCGGAGCGCGCCCCGGACGCCAGGCTCCAGCCTCCTCCTCCTCCCCGCGGGCGGCGGGGGTGGGGTGGGGGAGTAGAGAACGCGTATGGTGGGGGGATCCCGGGCCTGGGAACCAGGACACTGCCGGGAGCTGCAACCCTGTCCCTTACCCCGGCACTTTTCTCTAAAGAAGGTGGCCCGGCACACCTGCCGCAGGTGTGTGCGTGATGCCGTCGGTGGGGTCCTCGCAAAGCCCGGCAGCGCCACCCACGTCCCGAGATGAGGTGGCTGCAGGCAGTCGGGGGCTCCGGGGTTCCCTAGCTGACCAGGTGGGCCCAGGTCTCAACCCGCTTCTCAGAAGGAGAGTTCACCTGACACTCCGGGCTTGCTGGAGCTCCTGAGTATCCTGGCTAATTTGCGGGGAACGGTTCTGGTCGTCTCCTGCTTGGGGTCTTTACACGTGTGTTTTCTTTAGTGTGACTAAGGCTCTGAGCGTATTTGCATGGTGGATATGGCAGACACATTTGATCCCCTTGAAACACTGTGCCTTCGGGACCTGTAGACCTGAGCTGACTGGAAAGCCACTTGTAAGGCTTAGCTGACACTTGTGGCATGCTTCCCCAATGTGTTTGTGTTTTTGGAATCCAGATGGTTAAAACTGTCCAGATAATAAGCTGCCAAATCAGCTGTGCAGATGGTGCTGGTGGAGGGGATTCCAGCGATTGGAGTAAGAAAGAAAATACCCTTGGAGTCTTCCTTCTCAGGCTTTTGGGAAGTCTGTTTTGGGGGCCTCCTTTCCCTGTGCAATTGGCCAGACCCTAGAAATATCCAAGCAAGGCTGAGCGCTCCTCCTGTGAGCGCTGGTTTTGGGCGTTGCTAGTACCTTAAAACCTTGTTTTCCCATTCTACCACTGGAGTTATTACAAGGTAGAACCGGAGTTATAACAAGGTCCAAGTAGGTGGCTGTCCTTCTCTCAGATGGGGCCCTTGAGTGTGCATTGCTTACACTGGCTACCTTTGCTTTTAGGTGTGTCGGCGATTGGGGATCATAGAAGTTGATTATTTTGGACTGCAGTTCACCGGCAGCAAAGGTGAAAGCTTATGGCTGAATCTGAGAAACCGGATCTCCCAGCAGATGGACGGGCTGGCACCTTACCGGCTCAAACTGAGAGTCAAGTTCTTTGTGGAGCCCCATCTCATCCTACAGGAGCAGACAAGGTAAAGTGAGGCAGAAATAAACCAATGCCAAGTATACCTCTGGTTCCACTTAGAAGGGACTGTCATGCCTTCCAGAGATGTTCCCGGGCATCGTGCAGAGGAAGTTCGGGAAAAACTTAAATTTGTTTTGCAAAGCACAGATGGCCTGGGTGGGTTTTCCATCCCTTGTTTTGGTTTTTCTGGGCTCCATACTATTAATGGGAGAGCGGGGTTGACTTCTTACAAAAGAAAAAGAAAACCCCAGACACCAACTTCCTGACAGCAACATCTACTGCCCGCTAGTAACCCCGCCTCAGCAGTGTTACTACAGGTCATTGTCGGCTGTTCTAACCGAAAGCAGGAAACAGTTCCTCTTGGGTTACTTAAACTTGGTCAGTCTTCAGCCTAGTGTCAGATTACAGTGTGTAGCGCGAGTGCTCTGTCTGGCCTCCTGCAGATTTTAAAACTTTTTTAAGTTTCGCGAAAACTTAATAAAAGGACTCTTTGAAGGCCACTGTAACTGAATTCCAGCCTGCAGATATATTAAACATGACCGTTGGGCATTAGATTTTTTTTCCCTCCTTGTTAGAATAAGGGCCACCAGCCATGGTAGACATCTGAAGCGTGTAGTCTCCTTCTTCAAATGACAAAAAAAAAAAAACCAAAAAAAAACATAGTGTTTCCCTCTGGTCTGACTAATGCTTTTCTCAAAGATGAACCAAAATAGCAAAGTGATGTTTAATATTTATTACTGAAGTGCAAGAGACCTACAGTGGCATCTTGAAAAAAGGAAAATGATTGCTTTTGAAAGCACAGCAAACTTTGGATCCCAGCACTGATGTTTTCCATACTCCTGTGGCTTGGAAAAGTGCCATGCATGTGAAAAATGCGATTCTGTAGATTACTCAGAACCAGGGAACAGGATCCTCAGGGAGATTTTAACATGCCCTGTTTTTTTTATTTACCAAACAAATGGTGGAAACATTTTAAAATACCATCGTTTCGATTTGAAATAGCTCCTTTGCCTTGCCGTGGCTCGTTAAAGGTTGAGAGAGATTTTGTTTATGAAGGACACTGGCATAGTGAATTTTTAGTGTTTCTGAAAATACCTTACCACTATTCATGTAAAGGCATGCTTATAGATGCTGAGCTGTCTCTGTTAGTCACAAGAGGCTCTGTCTTTTTTTAACTTTTACTCTGTATCTGTATGTATGTGCGCTGGAGCACACGCCTGTGCATGCACACACACCTGTACGCCTGTGGAGGTGACAGCGTCTCTTTCAGGAATTGGTTCTCTCCTCCACTCTGTGGGTACCAGAGATCACACTCTGGCTGGGAGGCTCAGCAGCAGACGTCTTACCCTCGAGCCAGCTCCCTGGCCCACATCTTTTTTTTAAAAAATCTGATTTGCAAAAGCTTCCTAAATTCAGGAAAAGAAAAAAAAATATATGACCCAGCATTGGCCTTTATTTTTATTTATTTATTTTATTTTTTGGCAACAGTGGTATTGTGGTACTGCAGTGATTTCAGGGCTTCCAGGTGCAACCCAATTCTAGTGAAACAAATTTAGTTTTGAAATCAGCCAAAACTTGGAACAGCAAATACTTTGTTTAAATCGTGGAAGGATAATAGCATGATAAATGTGTACTGAGAATGTGTTCCTGCTTTATGATGGACTATGAGATGGTCTCTACCTACGCACACGCTCCTGTAATTGGGTCAATACCTATTATCAAATCTACTTTATTCATGTAAGAAAGAGACGTTTATGAATTAGTACTTGAATCAAATTGCCTACATTGGTTTTTTATTTTTTTTCCATTATTGACTCAGTTGTCTTTGACTCTTGGGATTTATAGCTAATGGCGCTCAAAGTATGTACCTTCCTAGTTCAACTAGATATTTCAATTGATTTTCATTCTTTTTAGAAATCCCATAGAAGGGTGAGTGTAAGCTGGTCCCGGCAGCAGGCCTATAATCCCAGATGCCTGGGAGGGAGACAGAAGCAAAGATTACAAGTTCTGTTGTGCCTGGGCTACAGCAAGGGTTCGAGTCTAGTCTGGGGAACTTAGTGAAACCCTGTGTCAACATAAAAGGTAAAATGACAGTTGAGAACACAGCTTAGTGGTTGAGTGCTTGCCTAACCAACCCAAAGCCCCAGTTAGGATAAGGAAGTGGGGACAGGGAGGGTAATGTTGTATAAACCTTTGATTACTTTTATTACGTTGGTGAATTTTGCATAGCTTTGTAGAGTTATCTGAAATAGAAAACTTTTAAGAAAATGCCCAAGGCTGATGACCAGTCAGTTTTAATATCTTCATAAAGTAATATCTAATTGGCATTTGTACCCTTTAATTAGGATGTCAAAAGTTGTGCTAGGTCCAATCTAATATTTTTTAAATTATTTAAGTGTATGGGTTTTGCTTGCATGTGTACCTGTGCACCATTTGGTGCTTGAGGAGGTAGAAGAGGGCATTGGATTCCCTGAGACTGGAATTACACAAGGCTGTGATCCACCATGTAAGTGTTGGGACTCAAACTTGGGTCCTCTGAAAGAGCAGCAAGTCCTCTTAACTGCTGAGATGTCTCTCCAGCTGCCTACCATTAGTTGTTTTTTTATCATAGTACTAAAGAACAAAACTATTTTTTTTTTTACTTTTATGTGGTACTAGCAAAAAAAAAAAAAAAAGCCTGTTGACAAACTTTTTGATGTCCTGTGGTTTGTTATAAAATATTATGTTAAAGGCTATGATTCTACTGTAGATCTTTTCTGTATAGTGAGTGAATACAGCTTTGACAATTCAGTTTTAAGAGATGGCTTTACTGAGGTAAGCCATGAGGGTGCATTTAGTGTACTGAGGGGGCCTGGACACTTCATTAATAGGAAATAACTGGGCAGAGTTGCCCTCTGTAGACCACTAAGCAGTGTGTCGTAGTAGAGCAAGTTCAATGTACACAGGCTATTAATATACCACTTAGCACCAGACCAGGATGACTGCTAAGGGGTGCAGGCAGGGAGGTCTTGGTTCCATTGGGGGACCCTGGGGTCCAGGAAGAAGCCATTTCTCTGAGGCAGGCTTGCTTCAAATGCTATCTTAGTTAGGTAGATCGGGCTAATCTGGTTTTAGGCTTAATTTTAGATTTGGTGATCCTACCGAGATTATTCCGTTTGCTCTTGAATGGGGGCCTGACTATAAGGACAGTTTTGTTCAGCTGGCTGGCATGGTTTACAGATGGAGACAACAGGTATTTTCAGCAGATGTTTGCCATGCTGTGGATCGAAATGAACGGGGAAACAAATTAATGTGCTCTGGAAATAAATCTGAAATAATAATCATCTTAGTAGAAACTCCTGCCTTTCAGGGGCTCTCAGTTCTTCACAGTGAATTTTGCCAACATTTTCCAAACTGGAGATGAGGGAAGCTCACGTTTCGTTTCCACAGTGGTGATTATACCATCCCCTGCTGGCAGGGTCTTTATGTTTCTCCTGGCTTGGCCACATTTTCAGAGCTCTGTGGTTTCCATTCAGAACAGTCCAGTTTAGTTAAGGTTAACCAACTCCAGTTTAGTTAAGGTTAACCAACTCTGGATTTTTTTTTCCTCCTAGAAAATAGCCCCAGTTCAACACTCCATGAGTGTTGAACCGAACGTTCAGAGAAATGCTGTAGTCTTGGACATGACATTTCCTCAAGATTTCTGAGTTAGGGCAGCAAGGATTAAATCTCTCCCTGATTCCTAACCCCAACATGTCACATCTTTCTAGAATGCCTTCCCTAGCACTGCCTGGGAGACTGAATTCTCCCAGGATATCGCCAGTCTTTCTTTTAGAGCATTAATGTACTTGTAACATTACAGCAACTTCTGTTCATTGTCAGTTACTCCAATAATGCAAATTCCATCAAAATTGATCAGTAATGGATTCTCAGACTCTTATCAAGTGTACACTGTGTAACTATCTTGTTAAGCAATAAATACGAATTTACAAATGTGGAACTGGAGATGGCTCAGTGGTTTGAACACTGGTTGCTTTTGCAAAGGATCCAGTTTGACTCCCAGCATCCACATGGTGGCTCACAACCACCTATAGCTCAATTTCCAGGAATCCAACTCCCTCTTCTGTCTCTGAGGGCACCAGATATGCATGTGGTGCACATACATACATAAATGAAGACAAAACACTCATGCACATAAAATAAAAAATAATAATAAATGAAATCTCAAAACAAAACCAAAAAAAGCTCACAGAGCCAAAGTCACAGATAAACTCAAAGCAAACAAGATGTGGTGTTTTCAAACCAATTCAGGACCAGTCAGACTGGCCCTAGCCAGGGTCTGTAAGTCATGTTCCAAGTCCTTCTTAAGGTTGTCTGTGATGGTAAAGGCTGATTACATAATTTACCTCTGCATGATTAAGAGTGAGTACATTCTACACGATGTCACAACTGCAGGCACTGTGTGTCAATTGTGAAGACTCATGTATCTATTAAAAAAGGTTTATTTATGTTCTTTATACTGTATATGGGATGGCAGAATCAGCCTCCCTCTCCCATCCCTACCTTTCCCTGTCTCCTTTCTTTCTTTTCTCTACTCTCTTATCTGTTTTCACTTTACAAGAAAGTTAAACAAACAAAAAGTAAAAGCATACATATACATTATTTCCAAAGAAATTATAAATTGAATTTCTGAATCCTAAAGTTTTTCTTTTTGCCAAAACTAAGGGGTATTTGCATTGCTGTGGGGTGTTTAATTTTAGCCAAGGAACTCTCATTTGGGCGCCTTCAGCCTGTACATCTATTTGAAGTATTCAAAAAGCACTTTTAAAAAGTGGTATTTCATGTATTCATTTTGTGAGTGGGAGTATGTTTTATGCATGTGATGTATGTATGTGAGTGTGCAGGTGCACATGTCCATACATGTGCATGCAGAGACCAGAGACTGACAGCTTGCCCACACAGGCACCTATTGCCATGGGTGAGGACATTCTTTAGAAGCACAGACTCTGTGCTTTTAAGTTCCAGTAT